AACAGGGAAATCCTTTAGTGAAAAAGGCATATACAGTAACCTCAAGTGTGAGTATATCCTAGGTTTAAAAAAGGGCACTTAAGGTGCAAAGAGGTTAAACAGTGTAAAACAGGACTTTCAAAGTGCTTGTTAAACTATATCCTTTCAAACAGCTGCATATCTGAGGAATGGTTCTGGAATCAGTGCTACCTTCTAAAGGAAGTGGAATTGCTGCAGTTTCTGAGCATTAAAAAATGGAGATCAGAAGTTGGATCTGAACACAGTTAGCTATGAATTTGTATCTGGAGTAGGGGAGAAGGGACAAACTTTGCTTAAGCAATTAATTAACAAGCTCTGAGTTGTGAACTCCTTAATTTGATGGTACCCTTCCAGCATACACTTCAATTTGAATGTCTCCAGTGTTTATGATCAAAATTAGAGGAAGCAATTAAATTTGAAGGGAAAAAAGTGCTCTGTCCTTTTCCAGCTTGTGAACTGGGCTAGCATGTCAGAAGTTCAAAAGGGAATATAGAAGGTAAAATGAGCTCAACTGGTGCTTCTACCCCCACATTGTACCTCTAAGCCTTATGTTGTTTAGAGATTAACTTTATAGACTTCATGCCCAGAATTATGAAAAGAGTTTCTGAAGACCTGGGAACTCTTGTTGTTTTTTCAGTTGCTTTTATTCCATTCTAATCCCTCTTGTAAGTAACTTGAGAGGGGAATGGAATATTTTCTGCAGGTGAGAGCCTAAATGTTAAATATTGCAAAGGACTTGCTATCTGAGGTACTGACAAAGACTTGATGTTGTAATGGGGAAGGCTGAACTTGGTATAAGCCAATAGCTGAAATCGGAGAAAAATAATCCGATACTTCACTTCTGGGAATCTCCTTCATGCACTCGGGGGGACCTAGCGTTTCTCTCTTGAGTAGTCTTATCCTCAAGACCAGAGTGTTTGTTCATAAAGCTTGACTTCTGACATAATAGTCTTAAGTGCAATTTTATTATTAGTCGCTAGTACAATGGACAATGCCTTGTCGGGGAAGGAGAACTTGAGTTCTCCTAAATGTTTAGTGATAACAGGTTTCATAACAAAGTATTGTTTTGTATTTTATTGTCTGTCTGTGAAGCATGGACTAAGTAGCATAATGTGAAAATACAGGACTGACTTTTGAAGTATTTTGAGCTGTGAGGTGGTCAAAGCTCCTTATTGGCTGTCAATAATATAATGTCCTATAGTCATAGGCCTGCCTAGTGCAGGAGTGTATCTTGGCAATTAAACCTGCCTTGAGTAGCCAACACGCTCACTCAGATAGTATCTTTAACAGGTTTAAGTTATCTTAGAGGGGTATCCATCTGAACTGGGACGACAAAATTAAGTGGAATGGCTCACTAGTTTAAAAAAACAGAAAACAAACAAACACAAAACTAATTGAGCATAGCTAGCCTAGTTTCCTGTTGGGAGAAGCAGGAATAACTGTAGTCATGTATGAACATCAGCTCCCTACAATGTACCTCAAAAGAGCCATCTTACAGGGCATATAAGACAAAGTTGGTGAATATGCAATTTGACAACAGTAAGCTGTACTGTGTTGCTGCCAATTTTTTTATGGCAGTCGTGGACTTGCTTTCAGTAGTAGATCATAACTCTTGCAGCAACTTTCTTGTAATAGTCTAGCCAGTTTGCCATTACAGTAATCTGAAGCTTAAACGTTGCTGAGGTCTTTGAGCTTTTTCTGCTGGGAAGGCGAAGGGAGTGCTCTGTCTGCTTTTACAGCGCTGTTGGATAACAACAGTGGAATAACCTTCCAGTCCAAGAACCTATAGAAGTAATATGGGCTCCTATACAAGTTAATGTAAGGAGACCTGTTGGAGTGGTCATGTATTAAGGTCTTGAGCTGCATTATAGCCAGTCTCTTCTTTGCTGTGTGTTTCAAGGATGTTAGGGTTGGATGCTGACTCTTAGGGTTTCTGGGGAACTTCTTTAAAGCTTTGTTTAGGAATGTTCTGCCTCATGAAACTCCACTTGGTTTAACTTTGTAGTAAAGTAGTCCGACTTTGTCAGTACTGACTGCTGTCTTGAATCTCGGTCTTAGTAGCTTTTCTGGAGTTATCCAAGCCTGGTGGCTGGTACTAGTGGATCTTCAGCTTCGTCTGTACTGAATGTGCCTTGTATGGATTCTGCGGAGGCTACAGGTCTTACTGTTTTTTTTTAAAAGGTGTTAAAAGCCTGGTTGTATCATCTAGAAAGGCATGGGAAACAGTGTCCAATGCTGGCACCTGAAAAGCAGCAAGCGTTCTGTGTGGATAAGGAAGACTTTCTCTTTCCCATACTATTGTATGTATATCAGCGTTGGGAATCTATCTCCTAAGAGAGTAAGAATAACAGATACCTGTGCAACCTTAGCAACATGTCCCTGAGTGGCTAGCAAATCTTCTGCTCTTCTGCTAGGTGATACAGTGGGCAAATACCAGTGGTTAGAACTTGTGATCCGAATAAGGGGCCCACTGGCAGTTTGAGGCATCGCTTACTCAGTAGCTTCTACAGAGCTTTATCTGCCCTTTTCTGTCTCAAATACTCCTCAATACTGTTGCATTGTTGCTCAAGTGGAACTAACTTTGACTTAATAGCTTGCTGCTTGTTTCTACTTAGCAAAAATTAATCTAATGAGTAGTTTGTGTTTGTTTTCAGACTAATCTTCCTATCTTCAAGCTGAAAGAATCTACAGTCAGAAGAAGATACAGTGACTTTGAATGGCTGAGGAACGAACTAGAAAGAGAAAGCAAGGTGGGTATCTGAAAGGTAAATACAAGTGTGCATAGACGTGAGAAGAGTACTCAACTGTTCTCTGTATGTTATAAAGCATGTCTGTCCTAATCTCAGAGGTTGTGACTGAAAACCTCCAGAACTGAAACTGTGTGCCAGGCTTTCACCAAACCGTGGTATACAGTGTGGGAGACAGTTGCTCAATGTTTTTTAGTTAATTGAGTTTAACTGCTTGAATTCAAGTTGCCTGTATGGACAGATGCTGTTCTTTGGTAATGTTTTTTATTTGACTAGGGGTGCTAATGATAAGCTGCCCCTCCAGGAGGGAAAGGTGGCACAACAGGTATATAAACTTGCTTACAGGTTGTACTTAAGGCCATATTTCTAAATCTTTCAGGTTGTGGTACCACCCCTACCAGGAAAAGCTCTTCTCCGTCAGCTCCCCTTTCGAGGAGATGATGGTATATTTGATGACTCTTTCATAGAGGAAAGGAAACAGGCTCTTGAGCAGTTCATAAACAAGTAAGTGTTGGGTCTATGTGGAAATGAACAGATCAACTCAGAAATGGAATTGGAGCTGCTAGTCCTCTAACTGTGGCTGCACTAGGCTCAGAATAATGAGAAGCTTTCACAGTCTTGCAGCGGAACACACTAATGTCGCTCATCAAATGTTTGGTTTGGATATCTTAATGCTTACCTGAACAGCTGAAGTGAGTGATGTTGGTGTTAATTTATGCAAATTACCACTAAAATTATAGCATTCAAAAATAGTTCTGCTTTTTCATTTCTGAAAGGTATCCTTCTTTGGATGAACAATAAGACTTACAATGGGCTTACAGCAGTTTACTTTGATTACAGATGTGAGGTTATCAGCTTGTATAATGATGTGTATTTTCTTTAATCATCGTGAGAATCTGTCTGAAGGTATAGAAACTCTACTTGAGATATGCATGTGTATATATATAGTCTGAAATAGACACTTCAAGCTGTCTCACTGCCTTTTAAAAGGTGAACAAAAACTTAGTAGAACAGCAGTCACACGAGTCCGTTACCATAATCGTTTTCCATATAGCAACCCAAAGAGTTACCTCAGTCTCTTTAATGCTGTGGATCCAAGTACTGGGTGGGAAGGAATTGTTGGTTACACAGCTCTTCTGGTCTCTAGAGCCAGCATGCTGTCCAAACCAGCATGGACTGGGCTCCTCCTGTCCTAAAAGGTGGAACTGACAAAGCTTGAATTGTTTTAGTTTTGCTTAATAGTAACGTTCTTTAGCAGGATCAGAGGATGTCCCTGAGTTAAGCTAAAACTTCATCTGATCTTGTATGTTGTTGGTCAGTTGTTACTTGTTGAAACATGCAGTTTAGGGGTGCAAAAGTGACTAGTTCAGTAGAAACTAAAATTGATGTCCTGTTTTTTGCAAGTGCAAGTAAGTTTAGGTGTGACTATATTAAATCTTCTCACTTATTCCTCATGTAGTGACTTGTTAGCTCAGTTTAGGTATTTCTAATGTTTCTAAGCAGATAAAATACTTCACTCTTTTGAGTGATACACTGCTACTTCCTCTGCTTGAAGACAAATGGAACGAATGTTCAAGGTGCCTAGCTATTCTTTTAGACCACATGAAGGTAGATATGCTTATGGTAAAACAGGAAGTGTTCTCTTAAGGTTGTACAATCAAGGTCCTTTAGCATGACTTTGAAGTAAAACTCTTAAGCTCTCTTATCCGTGCAGACTTGGAACTCTGTTAAATCTGGAAGAAAAGTGCTGAGCCCAGCAACATGTGGGGGAAGAGGGCTGTGTAAGTTCTGGAGCAACTGATAATGAAACAATATAACTGAAATCCTTTAGCAAAACATCTGTCTGCATAGCTAGCAGAGGGAAACATAGTGACCAGTTTACTGGTATCACTTGTGCAGTCTTGTAGGGAGCAATATATTGATCTTCTGAAAGTATAAAACTTCTCAGTGAATTTTTCCTACTTTGAAAGATAAAAGCAGACTGTTAATGTAGATGTTGATGTAGTGGTACACTCAAGTACAGCTGGAACAAAGCTCTTCGGGCAAAACTTTTAACTATTCAACCTCATCAGCTTATTCCGTGGCGTGGGCCAGCTCCATCGAGCAAATAGTTCACAGCTTTAATTGGCAATATCTGGAAGCTCTAGAGCTTCTACAAAATATTCTGGGTATTAGTGAAGTTAGTCCTGAATGGAATTTGCATAATATAAGAGATTTGTATTGCTGCATTCTCAAAGGTAGTCTTTAATCTTAGAACTAGAGAAGCTCTCAAATAACTGACATATCAGTGTAGCCAGGGAAGGGCTTGGTGCACTGGTACCAGTCCTTGATGTCCAGGAGTTCTAAAAGGGATGTTGTTAATTGCTGTCTCTAGGTGTGGAGTCTAGCGGGATTAAATCCTAGCAGTGCAGCTAGCTAATGCAAGAGAGCTGACTCCAGTTGGTTGGAAGCACCACTACTTTTTAGAAGTTTTCAAGAATAGCTACACCAAAAGTATTGTCTGCCTGAATCTGACTTCTGGAGACATGGAGATGTGGAAGCTGCAGCTGCTTTATATGATGATCAACATAGCTCAATATTCTTCCAAAGTAGAGTAAAACACTCCTATGAAACCAAGAGCCAGGTCAGACCTAGTCTAGCAAATCAGCCACTAATTTTCAAGCCTTTCTAAAAGGCAAAAGGAATTTGCTGCTGCCTCCTCATGTTGTCCCCTACATCTTTCTCATCAAGTCAAGAGGCCAAAACGTTTAGTCTAAGGAGGGTAAGAAACTCTAACTACTCCAGACTGTTTCTGAACTAGTGTGTGAGACTCCTGCCCATTTGCTAGACCCTGTTGAGGTTGCAAGGCTTTATAGCCATGCTCAAAAGATTCTGTCAATGCTGAGTAGCAGAGGGCAGCTTTCTGATTAAAGGACGTGCTCAATGAGAAGCAAGTGGTGACAGAAGAATTTGTTATCCTTGGGCGAAGTAAGCACTAATAGGTACATGTGGGGAAAAAATGCACAAAAGTACTTGGAAGTACTGACTATGAGCTTCTGGAGTTGATGTATTACACATGCTTAAACAGATGAACTTCCACTTCATGTTCTGGTAGCTTTGGGGACCACAGAGTTGATACAAGCTGCCCTGGGGAGAGGGGAAAACGAAGGTTGGGGCGTAGTGTGTGGTGTTTTTTTTTAACTGAACTCCTTTAGGTTTCCTTATCCATAAGTGACCAAGGGATTGAGTATCTTGGGATTTAAGTTCCATCTTCAAATTTTGGGACCCTCAGTAAGCTGCTAGTTGTCTTAAGGGATTAAATGTAACACCTTATCTCTTAAAAGTTTGGGAGCATCTTTTAAACTAATTTCAACTCACTCACTAGAGAAAAGACAGTGACTCTCTGTAGTCTCTATCCAGAACAAAAGTAAATCCCTATTAGAAGCGCTGTTAACTTCTAGAGCAGACAAGCTCCGACTCTCCAGTGTTTCCTATCTAAGGCTATTTCCTATTTTTGGAACAGAATGACCGTATCCTAGTACTTCCTGGTTGGGCCTCAGTGCTGCTTGTATGAGTTGGGAGTGACCATGGTTAAATCGCAGTGCTCTAAATGGTGTCAAGGCCTACAGAAGACCTTCACACCCCCTGGTGGAGTAAGTCTTTAACTCTGTCTGGACTAATTGCTGTTGAATGAGACAGAACTCATTCGGAAAGGAGGTTAAGCTCCTTTCTCGGAAGGTGTCCTGTGCCAAAGGCATCAAGAACTATGAATGTGAACTTGTCTTTACTTAACTCGACTCTAGGTGTTCTAATGCTAGGATGGGCGCTTTGATAGTCTGCTCAATTGCAGGTGACAGATGTTGACATAACATGCTTTCTAATGACCAGAGGTGGCTCAGAGTTCTATAGGCTAATATCATCTTGGAGAACAGCCATAAGTCTTGCTGTCAGACGTCATTCCAGTCACCAACAGTAAACCAGAAGTGAGATATATGACAAACTGTAGATCCACAGGTTATTGGTATAAAAATCTCACTGTTCTGACCAGCTGCAAGTAGGCTTGATGTGTTAGCACTAACACTTTTTTCTTCCTCTCCAGGGTTGCAGGCCACCCACTGGCACAGAATGAGCGCTGTCTTCACATGTTCTTACAAGATGAAGTAATAGACAAAAACTACACACCATCCAAAATAAGACATACTTGAGTTCTGAAGCCATCTTCTCAAACATGAGTGGTTCTTATGCTTGATTTTTAAGAGGTTGTAGTTTGTCTTAGCATGCTGAGGATAAACAGGCACAAAGCGTCCACTAACATCAGTACACTGCTTGGTCTTTGCATATGCTTTATAGCATTAAAGAACTCACTTGTCTTAGCTGAATCCTTCTGAATCCTTGATTTAAGAGTATTAAAATGAGACCATCCACCCTTTACGATGTCTCACAAACCTTTCCACTCTTATTTGCAATGACTTAACAATGTTTACTGACTTGGCCTTACTTGAACTTGCACAGTTGTAGTGTCACGTGTTCACTTGTATATGACTAAACTGCTATGCTGTTTCTGAGGTAGTCATATGTCTGAACTTCTGTAGAAAGACTGCTTTATTTCAGATACCCTGTATGAGAAACACTTATGCAATTGTCTTCATGCTTGTAAAACACTTTATACTGAAGTAATGAGGGAATTATCTTTATATTCTGTAAGAAGGGGGGGGGAAATCAAATTTATATACTAAAATAACTTGTCTAAAGTTTTGAAATAAAAGTGAAAATGCACTTCAAATGTTTGTCACTCTTGACCTTCAGTGTGGTGTATCCCCTGCTTTGAGAAGCAGGGACTTGGCTACACTGAGCGAGATGCTGTTTCAGCCTTGCTATGATGCCCTTCTGCAATGTAGTCTTGTGCTACTAATAGCCAGTGCTAAATACCCCAAGACGCTGATGCTTTCTGCTCAGGTCTTACAGAACACGTAAAGGTATTGGAGATCATTCCTGTGTTGCAGAGCTAAAGCTGGAGCCCTAATCATTTTAGTCACTTAACAGATCTGTGGCTTCAATAAGAGCTTTTTAAAAAGGTAACTTTCTAGTGGGCATGAGAAGTGCTGATCTGACTTGAACTACTAGGTGAAAATTGTACCATGCTGCAGAGAAAGGAATGTTAACCTAGCAGATACTGACATAACTCTGTTATTGCTACCTATAGAGTCATATGAGCCAGGCAGAAGATGCTATCCTAGGTTGGAATGCAGGTTGTGGACTCCAGCGCACAAGTGAGCATTGCTGAAATAGTCTTCCTCTCTGGATGTTTCCATGGCTGGAGGAGCTTTCTCCGTGCTCTTGGATGTGATATAGGTATTGCATATCGAGATCCTCTTGAAAGCCAGTTCAGGAACACTTTAGTGGCCGTCTGATCCAGGCATTCTGTGCCCTTCATAACAGTGCATGTTCTAAACAACCTGTCTAGTGCATGTTGGCTTAGACTTGTTCCTGCTGCTTTTACCTTCTTAAAATAGTGAAAGTCTTACAAACTTACCAGTGGAGTTAAGTCCTTTACATGAGAGCATTAACCTCATGTTCAACTCCTCTATGCCATTTGTTTGAAAATCTGGATGTTAAAGGCTAAACTGATAAAACACTGGTGGTTGACTGGATTGTATATGGTATTAATGAATACTTGTCTTCAAGCATACTAGCTTGTGGCTACAATAAAACAAGAAATCTGTGAGCTCTGGATACTCACAACCAAAGGGAATATTTTTATTCTTGAATTTTGGAGTGGGAAATGCATATACTGGGCTGGTGGCACAGTGGTAGCTTGCAAGTGTGCTGTGTCAATTTTGGTCCCTGGTTTTGTGAATAAGACAGATTCAACAAAGTGTTTGCGCTACTAAGTATGAGGAGGAAACAATTACTTGAGCATCAAACTATTCAGGCCTACCTTTCTTCAGTACTGCAAAAGAATAAATTCTAAAATTCCCTACTTGTTGAGTCACGTTTAGGAAATTGAATTATTAATGGCCAGGGGGAAGAAGCTATAAATGTATATGGTATTTCCTTGCTTAGGTTTAGCTGCGTAGTAAGGGACTATTTTTTTCCTGACACGGTCCTTTCTGTGAGAAGCTTCTTTCTGAAAGCATAGTAAATGCTACATGTTATGCCTAAAGGATATCCAACACGATCCATGTGACCTACTGTGGCGAAAGGAATTAGAGTGAAGGAAGAAAGCTATATACTTCATGTCAAAGTGGATTCTTCTTTTCCCATTTCCAAAATGTAATGAGGACTCTGGAGAGTTATCATTGGAGTTGACAGGATCAGGATCTTCAGTGGACATCTGAACTGGACTCTGGGATTTACTTGGACGTCGATCCTTTAAGACTAGCCAGATAGCCTCGTTCTAGTGTAGTGCAGCTGATCCTGCTGCAGTGCAATCTGCAGTTCTGTGGGGAAGATGTGGTCTGAGATTAGCTGTGCCTGAAATACAGGGAAGTGTGTGTTCTTCCAGCTCCTGAGCCTGTTGTGCAGATGGGCTAGATCCTGCGTGTAGCAGGATGAGATGTGGGTGTATACCCGTTGCCCTGTCTGCTTTGCAATTGGGAGAAAGCTAGTATGCTCTGTTGCATCCTCTAGCCTCACTGATCTAGGGACTGGGACTGTACAGCATACTGCAGAATGCAGCTGCCTCATAGTTTAGATGCAGTTCATGTTTGTCGCTGCTCCAAGAAGAGCAGCGCAAATCTTGTTGAAACCAGTGTTTTGTCGTGGGTTCTGCACAACAGTGGGTCCAACCTTTTTAGCTCATAAACTGAATTATCAAAAAGGATAGGGAGCCACAATTGATTTTTCTGGCCTGTCCAGTTGTCTCTAGACCAGAGAACAAAAAATAGTCAAAGATTATTAAAGTGCAGTAGGAACGCTTCATAAAGTGTTTGTTGGTTTGAAGGTCTCTTTTAAAGATAGGATTCACCATGCCCTATGGCAAGCAAGCTCTTAAGCGCTCCATGTTAGTTTGTATAGAGGGCATTTCAAAGTCCTCTAGTCCACACTTTGTCTCACTTTGCTCATCAAAAGACTGGTCTTGTATACTTCATGGTCTGGCTGTCTTGGAAAGGTTGGAATGTGAGACAGCAGAATGAAAGATTGGAGGAGACATAGGGTGAAAACTTAGACCCCTGAAACCTATGAGATTTTGTGCTTGAAGTCAACAGAGCTAGGATTTCACTCATGTTCAGTATTCCCTGACACTGACAATGAGCCATTGTTATACACTGTATATGTCCACTTGTCTTTTTAATGTGCGTGCTCTTTGGTCGCTCATGGCCGTATAGACAGTATGTTATGTTTTCCTTCTCCTATTGCCAACTTCTTTCTGTGCACTGGGAGTTGCTTACCCCTTTCTTTGATTTGATTATGCAATTGGACACCTTAATAAAACCTCAGAATCTTTTTGTTTGAAAACTGTTTTTGCGTTCATCGCCCTTTGTTAGCTGCACAACTTATGGATGTTAACGACTGTCGTAACATGAAACACAAGACTTGTACTAGGTTAGATTTCTGATCCATTTAGCACTGTGTCCTAGAAAAAGCTGTGTCTCCTCCTTCAGAGGAAAATGTTAGGAACTTTGCGTAAATGCGTATTTGAATTACAAAAAACAACTCTGAGACCCTTTGCTCCAAGGCAGGATCACCTGTATCTAAACTATTTCATTAAGGTTTGTCTAACCTGTTCTTGGAAACCTCTGATGATGTCAACTCCACAGCATTCAAGGCAATCCATTTTGACAGAGACTGTTTCTAATCTCTGGTAAGCAGAGTACAGTGAAAGAAACTAATCCAGAAATAGAAGGACAAGCATTAAAAGAACAGTGGAAAGTAATTTAAATTCAATATATTTTTATTCTTTGTAAATACAATGAGTACAACTTTTTAACTTCACAAATCAGTTAATCCACTTTGTACAGGAAAAGTTTTACTCATTCTATGATAGTCCAAGTGCTGATTTTTCTCAGTGCTAGTTCCTAATAACAAATCAAAATTTGTAAAGTACAGCAGCTATCTTTAAATGTTTTTTTTCTACATTTTTCATACATCAAATAAGCAGCTTGTAACGTTTCTGTGTGTGAGAGGGTGTAGGTGAACAAGGCTTCAAAATTAGAACCTGGAGCTTGCTAAAAAGGCATTGGAGACTTTTGGAAATTGTTAGCGTTGTATCAGTCAGCCACCTTTATTTCTTTGAAATAAAACTCCTTCCTTTTTTCTTTTTATATAGTCATTTCACTTTTTTGCACATCTCATTGACAAAGAGTTTGGCCACCGTTGCCTTTGGTTTCAGCACTATGTCAACGGGACAGCGAGCAGGTCACTGAAGCAGTCATCTCCATTTTATTTGGTTTTGCTGTTTTACTCTTCCTGTCTTGACTTGTACTCTTTTCAGATGTGTGTACGTGAATGTGTGTGTGTGGAAGAAGATGGAGGGAAGATAGGGAGAGGAGGTGTATAAAGCTCTTCTGTCTCTGAGATGTTAACCGAACAAATTCTGGTGACATCTGCATCAAAGATCACCGGTTCATTTTACAGGAAGAATGGAGCTGCCATCATAAGCTACTTTTTAATCAGTTCTGAAGGCCACTTCATGATGTATTATAGCAGAAGTAATGTTTTGGTAACCTGGTCTTAAATGTTGCCTGTCATATTGAAAACACTTTACCAACATCGGCTACTTTTAAAACAGTTCTGAAGGCCACCACCTCTCATGTTACAACAGAAGCCAAGTTTGGTCACCCCGTTCCAAATACTGAACAAACTAAAGTACCTTCTTTCACTTTTTGTCTCGGATCTGCCTGTTAAATGAGAGAATAGCAGAGTCTTTGTTAACTGTGACTGGCATCTGAATTGCTTCCATCCTGTACTAACAGGAAAAGCAGCCAAATTCCAGCCACTTTTACTTTTCTGTAGAACAAAGCATTCTCTCCATGATCTAAATCACTTTGTTCAGAGCAGCAGAATCATATCTACTGGGGTATTTTTTGTCAATGAGTTTAAAGGCTAAACATTCCCAGGCTTATGCTTCCTGTAGATTTTGTTAGTTGAGGCTTATTCTCCATAGGTAAAAGTTCTTCTCAAACTGTCCGTCCTGATTGTTTATTTTAAGGTAATTTATATGTCACTGGATTTGTACATATCTGAAAGCAGTCTTGTAATTGGTACATTCCCAATGGTCTTTTTGAAAAACACTTCTTCTATTGTGGATGGACTAATCGAACGTAAAGCTGGTAAAAGCAATAAAAGTTTTCCAAAACGGCAGGGTTGCGTGGGATACCTGGGAGACAGAGAAGACAGGTTACTGAAGTTTTTAGACGTTTTTCCAAATAAAATCTTTTACTTTACAGAAGAAGACATTCAGCAAATTATACAGATGGATGCTACCTGTGTTAAAACCCTGCTTCTTGTACTCACATGAGCAAGAAGGCTGATCCCAAGGAAAAGTGTCTTGATCGAGGTTAGACTATAGGCCAATGTCTTTGAATTTTGATTAGCTCCTTTGTTTCTTCCTTCAGAGCAGTGACAATACAGAGACAGGATCTGCTCTAGCTTGTTCCTCAGACAACAACTGTGTACTTGATGTAGTTCAGGGAAGAGCTTGACCCATAATAAATGCCCTGTCATTTAAATGGCAATTTAAACCTAACTAGCTTATCATGGTAATCATTTTGTCCCCTTTTAGTGGCTTTATACCTTTAATAACAATAGCTTTTGAAGAGTACATATTTGATTAAAGAAGCTATGTTTTATCCCCAGATAACATATTTGTGTAAAAGGATATTTGTGCTTACACTGACTTTACATCAGTGTGATTCGCAAGCCACTGAGTTACAGTGTCCTAGTGAAAGAAGGAGTAGGTCCACTGGAGAAACCTTCTGCTTCTCCACTCTGCCCTTTCTTACATCCTGAAAGGGATCCTTGAAAGCGGCTCCACTGAGGTGAAGGGGCTGATACAAGTATATCACTGGCAGGAAGGTAAACTCAAGTGTAAGGACGAAACACAGGCTGAAAGCCTCATCCTGTCGGAGTCGATTACAGTTTTATCAGTAGAACTAGGATTTCCTACTTTCCAGAAAAGCTGCAGAAGCTTTCATACCCTGAAATGGGTGGATATTGTTGTTCTTAAACTTTGCGTTTGTTTATACAGCTAGTTTTTATTCAGAATATAGGCAGTCTTTTTTTGTACTTTTTTCCTCGTAAAAGGGTGTCTTTTACAAAAGATACTGTTTAGTCCAGTAGCTAAATATTTCCAGCAATGCAGAAATACAATGGGAAAACTACCATGCTCAGAATGGAAATCATGGCTATGTAAAACCATTGCTCCCTGGCTGCTTCTCTCTCCAACAGGCCATGGCTCAGTCAGAGTCTTCAGGAAGCCATCTTCATGGGAAAGAGCTTGACGTGCAGTAGCCACTCTTTTCTTTTTGCTCTGCACTAGCCATAACTGACTGGTACTTGCATCTCTGCCCACGTCTCCAGGGCAGGCCATTCCCTTTAGACTAAACAGAAGAGCTTCAAAGATTGCTGCCATCTAATCTCTGACACTGGCCAGACTTCTGCTAGACAGACCTGATAGCAGAGCAGGTCAAGGTTTTAGAAGGAAAAAAAAGGATAAAAATCCCTCTTAGAGCCCTCCATTTCTCACTGTGCTAGTCTCATGGACCTGCGTTGCAGCTAACATACTAAGACAAAGACTTTATAAGACCTTTCACATATCTCCCCAGAAGTCCTGAAACAGCTGGAGGAGCCACTCTATTAGATGTTAGGCGCACTCTTCTGGCCTCTCCCTTTCTGCTCACTTTGAGGTGGTCCATAGCAGAAGACTACTAATTTGTTCGCAGCTGGCTGTTCTAAACTGTGGGCTTGCATTTTACATAGCACAGTTCACGCATTCCTAGTTTCACTCTTGTACGCTTTGTGGGGTGAGAGCTATAACTTTTATGGCAGATTTTAAGATTTCTGTATCTCATAGGACTTATCTGGCATGAAACAGGACTGAACTTTTCTCCCTAAGCAATAATTCTCATCGCTGTGCTGCAGCACCAAAATGGGAGTCACAAGTCCTGGGTTTTCCGTTTCAAACTGGGAACAGACTGAGCATAGAGTCCTGGAAGAACGGAATTCTTGAGTGAAAAGCAATGTTACGGTTGTGATATGTGATATTATTTTAACTATCACTATTAGCATTACTTGATTCAATAAAATGTAGAGGAAGATCTAGGGGAAGATGTATTGCAAAATGTTCCACAGCAGGTATACTTCCTAGCGGAAAGTCTTTCCTTTTACCAATTTTCCATGTGTCTGACTGAATCCCACGTTCCTCATTCCATTAGGACATACCAAATCCCAACAGGCTGACAGTCAATTTATAGTGGCTATAAAAGCCCGATCCCCGTTTCAGTCAATAGAAATGCCGCCTTCCCTACAGCAAGAGTGGGATTTTACCCCTCCACCTGCAAGAAGTATTTGAAGAAGATGCTGATCACCTGGTATGAATGTAACTGTTCAGGGTGAGCTGGGCTTCGTCTTGAAGGGCTGCTATCGCGGCAGCATTTCGAAAACTCCTCAGTTCAGAACCACTGTGTGTAGGCACTGCAAAGCAGATCAGTTACTAGTTCAGCTTGACTCTCTTGTGGCCCAGAACAGTTCAGTTAATGCTAATCGATGGAAACAAAACACTCCCTTTAGGTCCCCCCAGCACTTCATTGTTAGCCTTTCAAAATATGATGCTGACTATTGCAATTCCACACTAGGAAACTCGTTGGATGATATAATCCTATGTCTGATTTAAATTTTTTTTTTTTTTTTGCTTTAAAGTAGCTTGCTCATAGTTACCAGAGCAGACAAGCAAGAGATTATTTCTGCTTACCAGCTTTGAAAGTGACAATGCATTTGAGACAGGCAAATTCAGTAGCATCTAGCCGAAGTTGTCTAAATCTAGCCACAACCTCCTGTAAAGCCTGTATTTCTGAAATAATTTTATTCAGCTTCTGAGAATCTGTATTGTCACCGTTCATGCCTGAAACAGAAACAGATGAAATAAATACTCTAATATTAAAGGCATTTGCTTTATTTGATATTGATTTCTGACAAAATCCTGTGTATCAATATCCATTCTATTGTCACACTTGTCTATCTGGTTCCATGTAAACTGACTATATTGTATGAAAGTTAATATAAAATCTTCTCTTGGATGATAACAAACACAGTAATTTGCATTTAAATGACAATGCAAGCAGTCATGAATACAACAAAACAACATTATTTGCATTTAAATATAGATTTATAAATGACAGGTATGTTCTATTGTTCAGTAGGAATTTGTTATTCTTTACATGTTGTTCTTTTTTCAGTAATGTATTTTTATGGTAATTTCTGTAACAAAGTCATTAAATTGTGCAATTCTTACCAGATACAGCCAGTAGAGTGTTAGCATCAACTGGAATGGCCCATTGTGCTATTCCTAGAACAAACAGTTCTCTCCAAGCATCTTCCAAAAGCATCAGCTGTCATACAATAGATGTACAATATAACATAGTGTATAATTTATAGATTTATAAACAATTTAAATATGTAAATTTCTGTTATTTTAAAAACTACTTTAAATGCCTGTCATGGTATTTTCCTCACAGATTTTGTTAGCTCTTCTCTTAGCTTTTTGAGAAGGTGTCTAGAAATAAGTCTATGCGTTGTAGAAAAACACTTAGCGTTGGCTCACTGTGCACCATGCTGTATAGACCAAAAGGGAGCAGAAGGAGAAAGGAGAGTGAGAACTCCTGTCCCAGACAGCTTGCACACTGTATGAACATTTGCCTTTGTTTTTCAGCAGTACTCCTAACAGCATAGGCTCTCTTCTCCTCTCCCTGGGCACATAGAGCTGTCCTAGGACAAACTGGAGGAGTATTCTCCTATTGCTCTCTAGGGATTACACTCCTTTCCCTTGGGAATGCAGGATGTGTGGAGAAAAGCCTGGACGACATCCTGAAATTGCATCACTCAAGCACCCCTGTAGATGATATATTTATGTTTAACCCCTTCCTGATTGAGCAAGTCTATAGCTCTTTGAAGCGTAGCATCTGGACACCCATACAGATTTTCAGTCTCGTTTGTTTTCCTGCTTTTCACTAAAAGTCATCCTGAAATTCTAGGCACTAAAAACTGTTTCCCTTCAGATGAGAACCAGGGTTAGGGAAGCCCTTGAGTGAGGGGCAAAGGAGAAGGAATTTGAATGTAGACATGTGCTTCTCCTCTCCCTTCATAGCAGCACAAACCACAGCACCAGATGCAAATAGTACTCAAGACAGCAGGCTCTGAAATTAGTATCTAAGTGCCTAAGCTGAAAGCATTGTTCATTCTCTACAACTTCCATACGTTGCCTGGTTTTACGGAGGATATGTTTTTCTCTGTTTGGAGCAATGCCATTGATTTCCTTGGAGAGGCACTGGTGCGTTTGAAGAGGCAATGTGACTCCGGATAACGCAGACTGGCAAAGCCAGAAAAAATATATTTAGTCTTGAGGGCATCTATCAATCGCTGGCCCGGACCAGCTTCTTGAGAAGGGTTTGGAGGGCTCTGAATTCAGTGTAAGTTCATTAGCTCCCTAAAGGTCATGCTGTTGTGTATATGCATCGCTGTAACCCTCACATCTCTCAATAGAGTGGGAGAGATTTGGAGGGGTAGAAATGGTAGTGGACTCAGGAGGGATTGTCTGGTGGCTCCACATGGTGAAAACAGATTGCCCAAACTCATGCAGCAGAAGCAGCAAATCACAAGTATTAACATTGCTGTGGTCTGTGAAAGCATCGTCAGCTTATAAGCTTAGGAGGATGGGAAGGGAGTATTTTAAGTCTGCAAAGATTGTGCAAAAGTAAGAACAAACTAAAAAAATATGTCCTGCCAAATGAATTACAATTTCCTTGGACTCAGATGTATGAAAGTTGTAGACAATACAGAGAGCATCCATTAAAGATCAATCCTTTATTTACATGCTAACTCTTAACAGTGGAAGTTTTGAACCACTGTGGTCTGATCAGAGCGGGAGGAAGAGCTCTCACAGTCTATAGAGCTTGTCATTATAGGTTTATGCCCATTTTCATGTCATGATTACCTTTCTGTACCATGCATTTTGCAGAATTTCTACACAACTTGACTAAAAAAAATGTGGTGGGGAAGTATTTCTGTCTCTGTTAATACATAATTAGTGTTTGAAATGATTACATTGGATTTTGCAACACTAGAAGCTGCTCAGGTTGTTATATGAAGAGTGTGTGTGTTCGGGGGGGTGGGGTCTAGGGTACAGTATCAATCTCAGCAGTTTTCTGAGAGGAGCAGAACCTGCTGGTAAGTCTTCTAAATGCTACAGGCTGTGAACCAACCCCTCTTCCAGATAATCCTGCCTGATGGAGAACAGGTATTAGATAGGCAGGTACTCTATATGGCCTAAGAAATGATTTGCAGCCTTTCATTTGCTTTTGTAAAACTTTTTTGTCATTCATTCATGCAGATACAATAGTAATGAATGGTGGTTCCTGAAAGATATCAGTTTCACATGGTCTTTCCCACTACGCATTTAAAGTCAGAAGACTTTAGAAATGAGAAACTCTTCCAATAGCTGGTTTTCTTCATGCCTATGCATAAGACTGTAAAACCACCAATTAAAATAATTCATGCTAAAGTCACACTCAGCCCTTCCTCTTCAAAGAAACAAGAAATCCCAGGCTTCCTGAAGGACTGGTTTCTGCTTCTTAGTCAGCCTCGTCTTGTTAGTATGACCTTTTGTGAGGGACTTGCATCAGGCCACCCTGCCTCTACAGACATGCTGGACAGGTGTGCAGGCCCACAGACCTTAAAGCAGGGCATTTTTGTTCAGTGTCTTCCAGTCGACAATGTGATCGGCTATAAGGAGTTTGGGAAGGGGCAGCAGCCTCTGTGTTACTGAGGGTAATGACACAGGAATCCCCAGACTTGTGTTTTGTCGACGAATTGGTTTCTCCTTATTTCCTTGCCTTCAAGATGAAACTGATACAGAGCCCTGGAATCACAATGCTATCGCCCTTTTTTTTTTTCTTCAGAAGAGCACGAAACAAAAGCAAATTCCAGGAAAAGGTTTTAGACTCTATTCAAGCAGATGTCAGGGATATAAAAAGAGAAATTCAGACATTTACAGCTGGGCCATTGTCAAATTAAATAATGCAATAGCACTATTATAAAAATCAACTGTCTGATTATTCATGAAATAAGGTGATTAAAATCAGAGTTATTTCCTCTCCAGCTCGCCTGAATGTGACAGAGGAATCATGTAGAGAAAGGCCCAGGTCAAAGCTTTAGAGCTGAGCAGCTCTGAATTTTGAGGAATCTGGCTTGCGATTAGGTACAGCAAGTAAATACGATGTTAAGGAAAGTCTGGGGCTTTAGTCTATCATTCACTAGTATTAGTCCCTGATGCGAATATAAAATAGCTAATGGGTTATTTAAAGATAATGGGAACACTCTGGTTTGTATGGTAGATAAGCAGGCCTTGCTGGCAGAGGCATGCAATGGAGAGTTCCCCTCCTCCCCAGTCCTGCTGCACCCTCCTCCTCCCTCTAGCAGGGATGACCTGTTGGGAAATGCATATATAATGTCAAAGGAAGCCCTAGCCTAAGTAGCCTCCTGCGGCTATCACTGGACTAGAGATGAATCCAGCGTCTTCCTGTGCTATGAGACTCACTGAAACAGCACGCTTGCTGGTTGTCCTCGATATTTGGGCCTGATTCTTCAGTCGCTTCATGCGATAGATCTGATGCTCCATAGGGGTAACAGCAGCAGAAGGCAACATTAGAAAGCAGCGTGCTGCACTGGGACCACTGTCTTCCTAAAGTTGGGCACTTACAGGGTACATATCCTCCAGGGCCCAACCTCCTTCCTACTCACATCCGCTCACTCTGCAACAGTTTTGCCGTTAGACCTGAGTGGAATGAATCCCTCTTTGTCTAATTTCACAAAAGGGATTTCAAAATGTGGGTCTGGCTCTAGAAAAGGAATGTTTCAATATACCTTGGCCATATATGACATTGCAACTGCCATGATTTACCTTTAGGTAGAAAACACTCTTGATTTCCTAAGAAGCTCCTCTCTTCAGTTCAAATGCATATTTGCATATGAACAAGCAACACTTGCAACATGCATCCATGCGGTGTAACTAGTTCCTCTGATGACTGCTATGTAACATTGAAGGCACAACATTTCTAGTTACCATTTTCTGAAATTAGCTCAATCATATCAAAGTATTAGACACCTTTTATGATTGGAGCTTTGTGTAGATTTTCCCCCTTCCATTTTATAATTATCTGATTACTTTTTTTTAAATCAGTGCATTATACAAAGTACACTAAGTCCTCATCAAGAATCAAGTCATTAAGAAATTGCTTCAGCTCCTATGGTTCACATACGATTTACCTGAAGCAAAGGCAAATTGTCATAGATGAAAACAAGACAAATTAGGGAAGATTTTAATTAATGGTGAAAAAAATGTGAGGACTAGCCAAATTCTGCTTCCACCGTACTGGAGTGAGTGTGATGTAAGTTCACTGAAGCCAGTATAAGAAAGAAATGTTGCCTGTGTGAACAGGAGGAGAGGGAGAGGGAGAGGGAGAGGGAGAGGGAGAGGAGAGCTCCCTTGTGGCACCACCTGGCCATGGTTATGAGAGGGGGGGGGGGGGGGGGGGCC